AGTGGGGATAGTGGGCAGCCTTGTCTGGTTCCTGATTTCAATGGGAATGCTTCCTGTTTTTCTCCATTTCGAATGATGTTGACTGTGGGTTTGTTATATATGGCTTTAATTATGTTGAAGTATGTTCCCTCCAGTCCAATTCCCTCTTGGACTTTGAACATAAATGCATGTTAAATTTTGTCAAAGGCCTTCTCTGTATCTATTGAGATCACCATGTGGTTCTTGTCTTTGAGTACATTTATATGAGTTATGACGTTTATTGACTTTTGTGTATTGAACCATCCCTGCATCTCTGGGATAAAGCCGACTTGATCATGGTGGATGATCTTTTTGATGTGTGTCTGTATGCGGTTTACAAGTATCTTGTTGAGCATTTTTGCATCTGTGTTCATTAATGATATGGGTCTGTAGTTTTCTTTTTTGGTTGTATCTTTACCTGTCTTTGGTATTAGAGTGATGCTGGCTTCATAGGAATTTGGAAGTTCCCCCTCCATTTCTATGTTTTTGAATAATTAAGTAGTATTGTATGCAGATCTTCTTTAAATGTTTGATAGAATTCTGCTGTAAATTCATCTGGTCCTGGGCTTTTTTTTAGTTGTGAGGTTTTGTATTACTGTTTCAATTTCTTTTTGTGTTAGTGGTTTGTTTAAGCTGTTAATCTCTTTTTGGTTTAGTTTTGTTGGTTCCCATGCCTTTAGATATCCATCCATTTCTTTTAGGTTTTCGAATTTAGTAGCATATAGGTTTTTAAAGTATTTCCTTATAGTGTTCTGTATCTTTCTGGTGTCTATTGTGATGTATCCCCTTTCATCTCTCATTTTGTTGATTTGGAGGTACTCTTTCTTTTGGTTAAGTGGGATAGCTGTTTTTCTATCTTGTTTATCTTTTCAATGAACCACGTCTTGGAATTGTTCTTTGTATTGTTTTCTTTGTTTCATTTAATTAATTTCTGCCCTGATTTTTGTTATTTCTTCTTGTCTGCTGGGCTTGGGTTTCGTTTGTTGTTGCTTTTCAGGTGTCTTGAGTTTCAGTGTTAAGTCATTTATTTGTGTTCTTTCTGATTTTTTGATGTAGGCACTTAGAGCTATAAACTTCTCTCTGAGGACAGCTTTCAGCGTGTCCCAGAGGTTTTGTTGTGTTGTATTGTCTTTTTCATTTTGTATTTCATTTTTCATTTCTTTCTTAATTTCTCTTTTGACCCATTCATCATTTAGGAGTGTGTTGTTTAATCTCCTTCTGTTTATTTGGTGATTAGGGCTTCTTCCACTGTTGATTGTATGTTTTTTGCATTGTCGTCTGATAGAATGCATGGAATTTTTTCAATCATTTTGTATTTGTTGAGGTTTGTTTTGTGCCCCAGTATATGGTAGATTTTGGAGATGGTTATTTCTCTTTTGACCCATTCATCATTTAGGAGTGTGTTGTTTAATCTCCTTCTGTTTATTTGGTGATTAGGGCTTCTTCCACTGTTGATTGTATGTTTTTTGCATTGTCGTCTGATAGAATGCATGGAATTTTTTCAATCATTTTGTATTTGTTGAGGTTTGTTTTGTGCCCCAGTATATGGTAGATTTTGGAGATGGTTCCATGGGGTGCTGAGTATAAAATTTGTCCTTTGGCGCTTAGGTGGAAAACTTGGTAGATGTCTTTGAAGTCCATTTGATATATGGCATTGTTTAATTCAGATGTCTCTCTGTTACCTGTCAACCCTGTTGACCTATCTAATAGAGCAGTGGGGTATTGAAATCCCCTACTATTAACGGATTGTTATTAATCTGGGTCTTAAATTCCTGTAGTACTGTTTTTGTGAGGTTGGGTACACCAGAGTTTGGTGAATATATGTTCATGATTATAATATCTTCTTGATTTATTGTTCTTCTGATCAGAATAAAGTAGCCCTTTTTATCTCTGGTGATTAGTTTTATTTCAAAGTCTGTTTTGTTTGATATTAGAATTGCTACGCCTGCTTTTTTATTAGTACCATTCGCTTGGTATGTTTTTTTCCATCCTTTCACCTTAAGATAGTGCCTGTCCTTTAAAGTGAGATGAGTTTATTGCAGACAACAAAAAGATGGATTTTGTTTCTTAATCCATTCATCTAGTCTGTGTCCTTTGACTGAAAAGTTCAGTCCATTAATATTTAAAGTTATTAATGAAAGATGAGCATTGAATCCTGTCATTTTTTTTTGTTTTTATTCTTGCTATAGCTGTACTTTTACACTGTTATACCCTCGTTGGAGTTTCTTTCCATAACCCCTTGGGTGTAGTCGTTCCTTTCTTTAGCTCTTTGTATTGCTTCCAGAACTCTCTGAAGGCTAGTTTTGTGGACATGAATTCCTTCAGCTTATTTATGTCATGGAAGATTTTTCTTTCCCCTTCGACTATAATAGACGTTTTGGCTGGGTATAATAATCTAGGTTGGCATCTTTGGTCATTTAAAACTGGGCATACCTTGGTCCAGGCTCTTCTGGCTTTCATATTTTACACTGAAAAGTCAGTTGTAATCCTGATGGGTTTTCCTTTATATGTGGCTTGTTGTTTCTCTTTTTCAGCTTTCAGTATTGTCTCTTTATTTTGTACACTTAGTGTTTTTACTATGATGTGCTATGGAGAGTTTCTTTTCTGGTCCTGTCTGTTTGGTGTTCTATATGCTTCTTGTATTTATATGGGCATGTCTTTCTTTAATTTTGGGAAATTTTCTTCCACGATTCTTGAAGATCTGGTCCATGCCATTATCTTGGTATTCTTCTCCTTCCTCTATGCCTATGATTTGTAAATTTGGCCTTTTTATGGTGTCACACAATTCCTGCATATTCCAGTCTTGTGCTATCTTAAATTTTTCATAGTTTTTGTTTGAGTGGTCTAGTTTGTCCACTTTATCTTCCATTCTTGATACTCTGTTTTCCATTTCACTCATCCTATTGGTGAGGCTTTCTGTCATTTCTAATTGGCTTACTGAGCATTTGACTTCCTTCTTCATTTCAGTCTGAGTATCCTTCAGTATTTCTGAATTCATTCAGAAGTTTATCCCTATCTTCCTTCAGTTCTTTGATTTCTTTTTTTTGTGTGTTCTTTAAATTCACTGAATTCTTTTTTCATGTTTATAATTGTTCTTTTGAGTTCCATGTCCTGCATTATCTTTTGGGGGCTCTCATTGTACTCCTTTAGAGGACTATTGGTATTTGGTGGGGATTTGTTTTTTTGTTTTTTCATGTTATTATTTTTTCTCTGTGATTTTGACATGTGACTTTCTTTTGTAGTTTCTGATTCTTGTGTGAGACTCAAGTCTTCGTCTGCTTCTTTTTGTAAACTTTATGTGTCTTTGTGGTTTACTTTTTGGGCATGAAAATCTGTTTCTTCTAAGCTTCCGGTTCTCTCTTTTGATTTTATATTGGAGTGGCCAGATTGTTTTTGTCTTCAGGAGTTCCCATCTAGGCTCAAGACAGATGAGGATCAGATGCTGAGGTCTGGATCCCTCCACGAAAGATTTTGGCCTCAGGAATTTGGGGGTTTGACTGGCCTGGGAGCCTGGCCCAGGAAAGATGCTGTTCTAGGGCAGCAGTTGGCCATGCCTCCCACAGATTTAAAGGAAGGTGGGTGTGGGAATTGGCCCCAGGGCTTCCTGGCGACTGTACTGAGGAGTGGATTGTTCTGGATGTAAAGGATCAGGAAGAGGAAAGGTCATCACAGGCATCCAGGAAAGAGGCTGTAGGGTCCTGCAGGCCCAGGGAAGTAGAGGGAGGTGAGGGCAGGTCCAAGCTCAGAAGCAGTGCTCCTGGGACCCCAGAAGGAACTGAGTTCATTTGGATGCAAAGGATCTGCAAATAGTGGTGGTTCTCCAAGTGTCCTGTGCGCCAAGACAAAGAATGGGACAGAACCCAGGCTAGGAGAGATAGGTGGGGGGAGATGGGAGGGTGATTGAGGCTGGGAGAGTCAAGGTGCTGAGGGCCTGATTGACTTACCTGGGAGAGAGGCCTGTGGGTTGGAGAGCGGCCTGTGGGTCGTGCAGGCCCAGGGAAGCAGAGGGAGGTGAGCGCTTTTCAAATTTTAAAGTACTTTCACATATTTAATAGATTTTGAGAGACTGTTGCATCCTTATAGTTTTTTTAGTAAGAAATTAAAAACGTCCCAAAACAAAAGCCAAACTCCACCATGTATGAAAATCTTAAAAAATATATTAAATCAATGCAAAGGAAATTATTGTTGGATAAATAAGCCTGATACAATAAAAATTATCATTTACTATTTTAGTGATTTTAATGGTTTTTGTGTTTGTGCATGTGTGCAGACATACAGAGACAGACACACAGAACACACACAGTACCTTTGGATGTTCGTGTTACCTTTGACCTACTTATAGCATTTTTTGTATCACAGTGGATGACGTAGTAGATGAAAGCGATGACAACGATGATATTGATTTAGAAGCCGAAAATGAAGCCGAGAATGAAGATGACCTAGATCAAAATTTTAAGGTTGGTGCATTTTTATCATTAGTAAACTATAAATAGTATAGTTCAGTTAAAAAAAATATTTGACTAATACGTATAGTGGCAGATAAAATTTTTTCATCCACATCTTTTTCTTTTAGGAGAATCTTGTTGGTCTGAAAACAGCCCTAACATTCCTTTTTCACTGTTTCTGACCAGAAAGATCATAAAATTTGACTTAGATTTGAAATCTAAGAAGAGTATTTTGTGATTTCTTCGCAGTTGATTCCAAAATGCATTACCCTCTGTCAGCAATGTTTTGGGGCTTTAAAAATATTAGGAATATAGTAGACAGCTGACATGTTGAGTGTTTTTGTAATGATTTTTAGGTCTTTAACTGGAAAAGGAAAAGGAGAAAAGTGCTGACTTGGGGAGATGCAAGGTTGTTATTGTATCACACAAGCTGTTAGGAAAGATTCAGATGAGTTTTTAGAATTTTGTGGCAGACCCTGAAAGCTTAGAAACTCTGTATTGCTTTATTTGGGGTAGAAGGTGCATTATGCCATCTTCCGAGCAATCAGCTCTTTGATTTGGTCAGCTGTTTGGATTATTATTGCCTAGTTCTGAGGGGAGAGGGAATTAATTCGTTGGTGTTTTTTTTTTTTTTTTTACATTTGGAATACTGTCTTAAAATTGATGCACACTGTGTGTTTGACTTTCTAGAGACAAGAATACTGGAAGATTTGTATCTTACCAATTTTATGAATACGACATGTGTTCATAAAGGCATGCTTTGACAAAATTGTCAAAATAGTAAAATGAATGTTTGCGTCCTGGCCTCAAATTGGATAATTGTGTAGGCTATGGATGGTCAAGATGAGAAATCTGGGGTAACTGAGTATTTGGTTTTGAATCTACCAAAAGCACTGGTAGATTTCTAAATTAAGTTTTCTTGGATAAGAGGAGCTATCTTAAAATTTGTTTGGGTTATTTGCATTGTATTTGATGGGAGTGAAATCTTTGAGATTAGCACTAAAATTTCAGAATAATCTTTACCTTTAAAATATATTTATGGGGACTATAGAGATGGCTCAGCAGTTAAGAACACTGGCTGCTTTTCCAGTGTACCTGAGTTTCGTTGCCAGCACCCACATGGTGGCTAACAACTGGCAGTAACTCCAGTACCAGGGAATATGATGCCCTCTTCTGGTGTCTATGGGCATTGCATGATACTGGTGCACTTACATACATGTGGACAATACACTTATACACATAAAAAAATTTAAAAATTAAATATATTTTGATAGAAACTCACAAAGTATGTTTGGTATAGTTCATTCTTCATATCACAGTTATTAAAATATTTGTAATTATTAGGAATATAAATATTGATAGGTGAATACTACTCAATGAAATGTGAACAGTGACAGATTGACAGCTGGAAAACTTGGTGTGCATGCTTGCATATGTTAAATGATCATTTGAAAGTCATGTATGTCACACACAATGGTCTTTTACTCATAAACATCAATGTAGTCGCAATGCAGTTAACTTTATAAGGGTGCCATGATGACACTATATTTTAATTCTTCACTAGCTTCTGTAATGCCCTTTTTGAGATTACTTTTTCAGCTCTAGTACCAGCTCTAGCATCAGATGCTGTATTTGTTGTATCTCTAATTATTCTTCATAATTGAACATTTTCACAGATTTCTTTGTTCATGACTTTGGCATTTTTGAAAAATAAAGTTACTGGCTTCCATTTTCAGAGTTAACAGTGATTTACTCACATTTTCTCTACTTTAACAAAGCAGTTATTATAATGAGGAATAAACAGCATTTATTGAACACTTAGCCCTGTGCCAGTCCAAGCTGTTTACATACATCAGATCCTCATGGTTCTGGAGTTGCTGTCCAGGGAGGTGGTCCATTTAGCTTGCAATAAAGCAAAATTAAGAGAGCAGCATCAGGGAGTGCCTCTCTCATTCCACTTCTGCCTGCTCCACTCAAATACTACTTTTCATCAAGCAGTATAAAACTGTTGGTTAAACTACTGATCTGTAGTAACTTCTTTTTACCTTACTGCTGTCTCTTACTTGCAGTGGTGTTATACTGGCTTAATATTTATTCTTTTTACAATTGGATTCTCATCATGTTAAAGCTTTATACCACTGTAGTGGTGTAATATTAGTGTTCTGTTGTGATTGCAGTCTTAGAGCTGCTTTTTCCTCACCATAATGAATCAGCCTTCTTTGCCCCAGATTTTTCTATCTGGACTGCTTATACAACCTAGAGGTTCTAGAATACTCACCAGGTAGCCATAAAAGCCAGTGCATTCTCCCCCCTTGCCCCCCTCCCTTAATACTAGAAGAACTTTAAGGAGAGGCAACAAACTCTTTCTGATTAAGGCCAGGTGCTCTGCTCTTCTAGTATTGAGCCCTATGTTTAGAGAGAAAAATACCTTCGTAAAGTATTTCTTTACTTTGGATTATTAGATATTAAGAAAATTACTGCATTATTTTTCATAATTGTTAACATATATACTAATGTAGTGATAATTACAAGATAGTGATACAGTGATTAATGTATTTAAATAAAATCAGTCTCTATTCATGGCAATAAGAAAAATCTTGTTCATTGATTTTACAAATAAAAGCAAACATCTGAATACAAAATAAGAAATACAGTATAGTTTTTCTTTAAAATTGCTAATGCATATAATTATAGTCAGATACATGTGTGTAAGGATTTAAGCATAGTAAAATAAATGTACTTTTGGATTGAAGAATGAGTAGTTTATTCTGGTAGTTTGAAAATTAGAAATGAGTGCCAGTTGACAGTTAGTAAATAGGTGCTGGAGAGATGGCTCAGCAATTAAGAGCACTGGCCACTCTTGCAGAGGACCTGGGTTCAAATCCCAGCACCCACATGGTGGCAAACAACAATCTGTAACTCCAGTTCCAAGTGACCCGACACCCTCTTCTGACTTCTGTGGGCATTGTATGACATGAGTGCACTTATATACATGTAAATATAACTCACATATATAAAAAAGTAAATAAAAGAAAATTAGTAAATGGTTTTATTTTGCCTCCTTAGACCTCTGTGAAGGTAGTGAGTTGGTGTGAGGTGTTTAGAAAATATCTTGAGTCCTTAGTAAACTAATATTTGCCCTCCAGTTATGAGATACATCAGCTCTTCTTTAAAGCACTTATGGGCAAAATTGTTATGGATACATATCTTGCTTCTCTAAGGACATTCTCTCAATTTTCTATTTTCTTTCCTAAAGGAACATTTTGGGTTCTACTACTTACTCTCCCACCTGTGAAAACAGTGCTAATGGGAGCAGGGAGCTTTGCTAAGGAAACTTTGTTTACCATGGGACATATGAGTGTGTGGTAACTTAACTGTATTGAAGGATCATACTGGCTAACAGTTTTTGTTCTGGAACCTCTCTAACTCTTCTACATCCCAGGTCATGTTTTTGCAAGCTCCTTAATCTCAGTCTCTCAGT